AACTTCTTCCCCTTAGATTCTCCTCTATTTTTTGCTCAAATTTTTTTTGAAATCATGTGACTTTTTTTTCCTTTTTTTTCCCACATCGAGTTCTTGTTATCCAGAAAATCGCTAACAATTGATATATATATATATATATTTTTTTTTGGGACAATGCTTTAGGAACTCAGGAGATAACATGAAGTTTCTCACGTTTTTCTTATACTTGACTACTTCTTTTCTATTACTTTTTCCCTTTTCCATCATAACTTTTCAATGTTGTGTCCGCCCAAATAGAGTTACTTGTTGTTCCTTTTCTTCAAAGAATATTTGGGACCAGTTTAATTTTTTGGACTTTCGAAGCGTAGATTAGAGGAGACTACAAACACTCACTTCTTTTTACTACGCTGGTTCTTTGAAAATAAAAAAGGAGTAGTCGTGTAAAAAATGCAAAAAGGGACCAAAAGGAATGTGCGTGGAAAAGGTTCTAAGGGTCCTGTGAAAATTAATATAACTGACAAAAGAGCGTTTTAAGAAGTGATTTGATAATTTTACGAATTGAATTTGTACAAGGATAATTTCAAAAATAGTGAAAACGATTCCAGAATTTCTTAATCTCCGTTCCTAATAAGAATCGGAATATGGGCTCTTTAATTGTTATCATTAGAAAAGTTTTGATTTATAGATCAATTCAGGGATGTTCAGAACGGAATTCGGAATTCCGTATATTCCGACTATTTTGGAATTAATATCCAACCGAACGTTTCCGAAACGTTTGAGAGATTTTGAACTACGGTATGACGAATGCGCGCGAAAAATTTGCTTGTGGGTCTCGAACGGAATGTATTTATATATATTTTTGCTCTCTGTCGAAACCGTTCGATCAATTTTCACCCGTTTTCGGCATTTTTGTGATGGGAAATGTAATTTCTACTATAAAGTTTTAATTTTTAAAGATCCTGAGAATATCAAAATCGCAATACTACGAAATTCCGAAACTTTGATAATCGGGATATTTCGAAATTCTTTAGTTTTGAAAATCGGAATATGTCAAAATTCCAAAATTTGGAAAACGGAATATTTCGACATTCTGAAATTTTGAAATTTTGAAAATCAGAGTTTTTGAAATTCTGAAAATATGCGAAATTGCAAAAATCGGAATAGTCCGAAATTCAGAAAGTTCGAATTATTGAAAACTCGAATTTTCGACATTTCGGAAGTGCCGAAAAAGCCATTCCGAGCATTCCTGGATCAATTGACTAAACACGGGATCTCTAAAAAATAATTAAATTCTAGTTCTAAAATTCTCCCCCACGCGGACCCATTTCTCAAAACACAGACTCCATCTAAACAAAAAATCACATTGAACCCGGTCTACTATACTCCGAAAGACAAATTGAAATGAGCATAAAAGATGTCATTCGCAGGCGACGTGGCAAAAGAAGACACGCGCTGCTCGTGCCCCATCTCTTAATTTTCCCGCATTGCTTCTCGATGATCGTGTTATTTTCATGATTCGATTCGCGATTAGCTAAGAGCACTATTCATTTGGAGCAGTCCATTTGAAACACTCAAACACACATCATTCCCCTGCTCTCATTTATTTGAGAGACTTGATTTATCTGATTCATCCCTGGCTTGGTTGTTGAAACCAAATTTTTTTCAAACATGTATCATTACGTCAGGTAATTTTTTGAGAGTATAGATAGGCATCAGAAACCAATTCAAATCAACAACAATGCACAAAGTTCTGGGAAAAAAGATTGCAAAGGGGTACACCAGCTTATCCCTTACATGCCCTCAATTTGACCACTTGTTGTCGAATTCCAAATTATTCCTCGTTTCTCCTCTTCCTTTTTTACCATCTCTCAATTGAATTAGGTTTTTGTCACACATTGAAATTCCATTTCTGATCACTGCTCACAAAAAATTCGAGTTTCTTTTTTCTGACTTCGAGTGGCTTATTTTTTTGTGAATTTTTGGAGCTGTGTTCCGAAATTCTTCGAAAATACTCGAGAAATTAATGTATCAACGATTTCGGTATGTTTTTCTTTCAAATTCTGGTATAACTGAAAAATGTTGTGTTTTGAACACAGGAAGGGAAATTTATTTTTGAAACATCTCAAAAGTGTTCAATTTTTTTTCTTCCTCGTCCAAAAAAAACCTAATTGACCCTTACTTTTGGAGTAGCCAGTCTTCTCATTAGTCGGTCTCACTTCTAGACACGTCTAAACAGTCTATGTTCCATTTTTGCAGTTTTTTTCTTGGTCAGCTTTTTAGTTTCAAATTTTTGCTTTCTAGAACAGAAGATTTCAAAGAACCCCATACAATAAATTTGAAAAATAAGATATATTTGTTGTCCAAAAATGAAAAACATAATATATGAAAAAGAGATTGAAGTGTTCATGATGAGCCAAGTCTGTGACTGAAAACCCATCAAACTCAATTACTATGAGGCGCGAAAAGTCGAGAAGTCAGGGGCAACAAAAAAAGAAATCTCGGCATATCTTCCTCTTTCGCGTCCGCGATCTTCTTCACAATCCGTTTTTTTCCGTGGCCCTCTTGAAAAAAAGTTCGACGACGCGCTCATTCAATCATAAATCTTGTCGTGGTTGGTGAGCCCTCAGACAAAGACCACAAGGACTTTTACGTCGAGAACTTTCTAAAAGTATTTCTCATTTTTGACCAATTTCTTCTCTTGGATACTGTCATGTTCGCCACTAAAAAGTAAGTTATGGAGATGTCGAAAACAGAATTTTCGGGATCAAAAATCGCTCTAGCCTAATTGACTAATCACTTTGCTCATCTAGACAAAATTTGTTGTCGACATCAACATTCTTCTCCTCTCTGCCTTTTCCTGAAAAATGTACTCGTCCCAACTGATTCTGAAGAGAACCAGAAGACAAATCGCATTCTTCTACCTATTCATTTTTATTATTTTTTTTCATTGATATTGAAACTCGAAGAGGTTCATATTGATGAGAAACTTTGAAAGGTTGAGTTTCAATGAATGAATTGATAAGTGACTTTTTAAAATGCACCAACAAGGGAACGCTATGTTAACCCAGAATTTGATAAAAATTTCATTACATATGAAAATATTAGAATTCGGTTATTCTTTCCATTCTTCTGAAATTTTGTGTTGAGGGTTCTTGTAATGGCAAAGGAAATCCAAACACAATTTTCTAATTTGACTCTTCTAGAAGTTCTCCATTATTTTCAAAAAAGAAGCTTCACCTGCCATTGACCTATTTGTACAAAAACAGAATCACCTGCAACTACTAACATCTTCTAGAAATTTTCAACTCCATCTCACCAAACTTGTACTTATGACGCTATCCTACTCAAAACTATACGGATAAGATTCGATAGATAGATCCAATTCAGAAAGCATCCCATAAAATACTAAATCGCATAAAAACGTGGGCGGCATTGTGGCTAGCAGCACAAGGCGCGAGCTTTATAGGTTTTTTGCCCTTTTTCCGTTGGAAAAGGGCTTCTCTTACAAACAAGTCTATGTTTCCAACTCTTTGGGGACGGTCGGTCATTAGGCATTTTGAGAGGAGAGGAGAAAGAGATTCAATGCTCCTTTCTGTCAGAACTTTTTTCTTCATGTCCTAACTTTTTTTGTTCTTCGGATTTTCTAAGAATATAAGTGTTTGGACTTGACAGTAGCGTGTCATATTTTCATCCTTATCCCCATTTCCCCAGAATTTCCTCAGAAGAATCGGATGAATGTCACTTGCCAAAAATTTTTTTGGAGCTAGCTTTGGTTTTGGTGTTGTCTGTTAATTCATATCCTAAATGAGTCATTGGCTAGAGAGGAGGAGCTAAAGCAAAATACAAAAAAAACGCACTCTTCTAAAACAACAGGTGATCTCATACTCTTATTTCTCTAGCCTCGGCATTATGCTTCCATGAATATTTCAATAAACATACATATCCCTACAAAAAATTTTCGCATTGCTCGTTGTTTTTCTACTAACTTGATTTATTACACTACTATACTGGATCACAAAAGCTAAATTGATTATTTAGAGGTGTTAAACTTATTATCAAATTTACCAACTAATCTATTCAGAAATATATGTTTTTGTACTAAAAAAGTACTTTTGAATATTGAAGCAATTCACGTTCAGTGAATTTTCATAGTCCCACAAAATCTCGAAGGACGATTTCTGAGCTTTAGGGCAAAAACAAAAATCAGAGTGTCGTGAATTCCCACGATACAAAAACTCAAAAACGCTGAATACTCTTCCGCAATAGTCTACTTCCCTCTACGTAATAGTCTAGTTTTAGAATAGACTTATTAGGATTCCATAGTCTTAAAAGATGAAAAGAGGGGGAACTCAAAAGAATATTTATTACTCCTGACTCACAGCCAAAAAAAACATATTTAAAAAGACGGAAAGAATGCGAAAATGTTTCATTCAGTTCAGTTATAATGAATGATTCTCATGAGATTTTTGGTTCCTCATGCTCTTCCTTTTGGTTTCTTTTTTTTAGAAAAAATGTTGTACATTCTTTTTTTCGCCTAGAAAAAAATATTCAGTCTTGTGCACATCCAAAGTTTGTAAGCGTAACAAACAGCTAGACTCGAAGTTCGATATTTTCCGGCAGTCTGAAACTTCCGGAGTCTTCTACTCCTCTCTCCCATTTTCAAAGAAAAAAAGGAATTCGAGATTAGCTTGAGAACAACGGAGTTCCTCCGAATATCATTAGAGGCGTCTACATATTCATAATTTCTTCTCACCAAGTTCTTTTTGCGTCGCTTTTCTCGCCGAATGATCAATACACGTAGAGGCCGTTATTTTCCATTAAGTACTAATGACAAAGACAGGTGATTTTATAGTACGTTTGATTTTATAGTGCGACCGTGTTTTCAAATGTGTATGTGAAGTCTCTAGACATGTGAATTCAAAAACACAGTTTTTTCCCACACAGCACACAGCCAAATCTCCCTCCTTCCTTGTGTTATCATTGCATTTCCATTTTTTCCTCATTTTAGCAACCAGATTGCCATGGTGATTCCCAGCACCAGAAAGGGGCATGCTGCATCTCGTGACAATTTTGGCAATTCCAATCATCATGGAGACGAGGTGAGTGGCTTTTTTGAACTGAATAAAATAATAGCTCAAATAGAATAATAGAGTCGAACTAAAGATGAACCTTATTTTTGAGTAGGTGGGTGCAGTGACCTCACAATAGAGATAAGCCCTCTGCCGTCAACTCGATTAGGAAACAAAGAGCACGCGGCCCTCACAAAAAAAGAGGGTGTTTCTATTTTTTCAGATTGTGCATCGTCTACACAATGGCAGACGTTCAGAGGTGGAAGAAGTGAAGCCGGATCTTGTTTCGGGGGCTGGTGATACGGTGATCAAGTTGAACATTGGAGGAACTTCATTCAGAATCAGAGTGGCTAGTATATTCGCAAGATCTGCGGATGAGAAATTGTCCGCGTTTGCTCAGTTGACTCATGAACAGAGACTCCAAGCTTGTGATGCATTTCTCATGGTTAGTGGGAATTTTATCTTACCACATCCAGTTAAAAAATGCTGCAAAACTATATACCGCGTAACCTGTAACGTTAATTTTGAACTCAATCATCTCAATTTTTATGCAAAAAATATAAAAATGTCAATTGACAAAACATCTCTGAAAGTGTGACAAACAATTTATTAGTTTATGTTTTTTCAATATCTTTAACCAGAATCGAAAAAAAATTGACTCAAAATTACAAGTTAGAGTATAAGTCTATAAGCTTCTTATAGAAGTTTTACGGTAATTATGATAAGAGCATAACGCTGATCCGATAGTTAAATTTTTCAACAACTTGACACTGATTTTTTGTGGATGTTTTGTGGATGTGATAGCATGAAGAGCATGAGAATAACGCAGAGATCTTTTCGCACAAATTTTGTTAATATATTTTCAGCCCCAAGAAGAGTACTATTTTGAAAGGTCTGCTATCCTCTTCGACTCGATTTTCAAATACTACATATCGGGCCAACTGCACCGACCGCTTGATGTATGTCCCACAGAGTTTGCCACAGAACTTGCCTACTGGAAGATAAACGACGGACTTATGTCCAACTGCTGCTGGAGAGGATACAATATGTTAGTTTTTTTTTTTTCAGAAAAATATTCTAGAGCTTTCTAAAATTAAAAACAGACAGCAGATGCTCAAAACTGTTTTTAGCACAAACAAAAAGAAAATTGTCAAAAAAGATGAAGACGAGAAGTAAGTTGTGTAGCTCGAACGGCCATTCTGCCTCATCATTTTTACCATTTCAACGCTTTTTGTTTTTCATTTTTCTCACTTATGTACACCCATTAGTTGTGAACTTTTTTTTCCAGAAAATTTTTCCAAAGTTTTTTCTCACAGTTTCCCTTTAATTATTTATTCCATTTTCCAACATTCATTTAATCAAGTTTACCATTACTAGTTTTTTCCCAAGAGTTGTTTGAATAATAGATGTGATTTTATATGCACTCACATAAGATAATTTGTAAATCTTTGAAGATCAAAAATTCAATCTTTCAGGAGCGCATCACTCGAGGAACTCGTTGCGCCAAAGGAGAAAAAAGTGGGTAAAGAAATACAAATGAATAGAAATCGGAGACTTCTTCTGCATACATAATTCATGAATGCACTTGTTTTTTTTTTTCAGATCGAGCTACACGATCGCTCATTGCGGTCACGAATTCATCAGTTCTGCGAAGGGGACGGGTCACTATTCTCGACATTGTTCACCTTTGGAAGTATCACATTTGTGCTTATCAGTGTAATCGGATTGGTTCTGGGATCCATTCATGAGTTGCAGGTTAGAGCATCGAAGAAAATAAGGGGCAAAATACGACAAAAAAGTAAATTGCGAAGACTTTGAGATTTCTAAATTTGAATACGCATTTTTCTAGGTGTGATAGCAGGGATGTTCGAAACGGAATCCGGAATTCCGAAAGTCCCGACCATTTTTGGAATGAAATTCCGGTTCCGAAACCCTTTTTTTCCGAATTAGAGATTTTCGGACTATGGTGGTTCGCAAAAAAATGGCTTGCGAACAGAGTTACTTCCCATTTTTGCAAATTCACAATCTTTTCGTCAATTTTTACATATTTTGGCCGTTCATTTTTAAATTTTGAATTTGCAAAGATGCTGAGAATTCCGTAATTCCGGAGATTTCAAAATCAAAATGTTCCAAAATTCCGGAATCCCGAATTTTCGAAAATTGGAAAATTTCTGGATTCCGAGAATGCAAATATTTCACAATCAGAATATTCCGAAATTACAAAATTCTTTAAATCGAAGTTTCAGACATTCAGAAAAATTCTGAAAATGTCATTCCGAACATCTTTGTATGATAGTTCATAATCAAATAAACATTTTTCAGGTCCCAATTTACAAAACAGGCGGAAAATCGGAAAGAATCAGCAACTGGACGATTGGTAAGTCTCCAACTAACACTCCTACTTTTTTCTCTATTATCCTCGGTTACAAAACCTAATTTTCGGTAGTGTCTACCCCTAGAACTCATTTTTTCAGCCGAGTCAAACGGATCTGACATATCAGGTGGTTTACTCTATTACCTATTATTATTTTATCTCTTTTTTATTTTCATCCCTATCAAACTTAAACTGATTTTACCCCGATGGATTGCTTACATGTTACGTCGTTGATGAGTATGCCAAAACGTCGTCTGAAAAATACTGTCTTCTAATTTAATGATTTATTTTGAAAACAAGATCTCATTTTATGGGGTTATTCAGGGAATCGGCAAAAAAGGAAAAAAAACTCCGCGAAAACTCGGAGAGTGTTCCAATCTGGCTGAAACTTTGGG